TTTTTTTTTTTTTTTTTTTTTTTTTTTTTTTTTTTCGTCGGCGTTTTTCATTGTTGTTTCGTCCCATTTTTGTCTCTTCCCTCCCATTTTTGTTTCTCCATTTTTTTTGCCCCTCCCATTTTTTCTCCCCCCTCCATTTTTTTCTCTCCTGCGTTTTGTTCCCCCCTCTCATTTTTTTGTTACCCCCCGTCTTTCCAAAGTTTATTTCCTCTCTGGCATTTCTTTCTGGTGTTTTCCTCCTCCTCATCCTCTTGCTCCTCCTGCTCCCCCCCCCCCCATCCCGCCCCTCCTCCTCTTCCTCCTCCTGCTCCTCCTCCTCCTCCTCCCCTCCTCCCCCTCCCCCTTCCTCCCCCCCTCCTCCTACTCCTCCTCCTGCCCCCCCCCCCTCCTGCTGGGGAGATCTGATGGGTTATCGCGCGTGCGTGTGGGTGGGTGGGTGGGTGGGGGGGGGGGGGGGGGGGGGGGGGGGCGGGCCAACCGGCTTGCGCGCGGGCCACTCCTCTCAGCGGCCGACCGCTTCCATTGCGATTGCTTGCGCGTGGCGCGCGACTTTCCACGCGCAGCCACTTGACTCTCCGCGCGGCTTTCCGCGCTCCCGCTTCGTCGGGGGCCCGCCCGCGTGCGCGCCATGGGCAAGGGGCGCTTCGTCGGAAAGCGGCCTGCAGCGGCCTCGGTGGAGGCTTTGGAAGCTGACGGTGGCCAGCCTCCCTCATGCCCTATCCTCGGGCCATGACGTCGCTCCACTCACGCGCAGCGGCATGGCCGCTTTGCACCGCCCCCCCGCCCCCCCCCCCGCCCCCACCCACCGCCGCCACCTTCAGCCCCGCCCCCGCGCCCCCCCCGAGGCGACTTTACTGGTCCAGGAGACGCAGCAGTTGCCATCGCCAACGCGGCGATGACGACCTCGCCCTCCGCGGACGACGCCCCGCCCAGCATGCAACCAGCTGCAGCGCAGAACGTGCCCCGTGCGCTTTCCAACCAGCAGAGTCAGAAGCAGAACGCGCAGAACCACAAGAACCACCAGGGGCCGACGTGGGCGGCAGGCAGCCTGCAGCCAGGAGGAGGCGCCAGCGCAGAGAGCCAGCAGCCAGCAGAGGGGGCCCACGGGACCCACTCCGTCGGCCAGGCAGCGGGCGAGCCCGACGGTCGCCCCGACACCCCAGCCCCGGCCCAGCCCAGCCTAGTTGGCCCAGCCGTGGCCGAAGACACCCAAGTTGAAGAAGAGGTGCCAGCTGAGCAGTCAGGCATGGAGCAGCCAGCTGAGGGGCAGCCACCTGAGATGCGGCCAGCTGAGAAGGAGAGGCCACCTGAGGCGGGGCCAGCTGAGGAGGGGCCACCTGCAGACCTTGAAGGTGCGCTGACGCAAGGTGAGACTGCGGAGCTGATCGCATCGCAAGAGCCGCCGATATGCATTTTGCGCAAGAAGGAGTGCGATCCGCTTGAAAAGAGCTGTAGGATCACCCACAACGGCACGCGCAGATCACGTGTGCCAAGTGCAGGGTGCGCGACCAGACGCTGCGGAGGATCTTCGGCGGGCGCCCGATTGCGGAGTTCGACGAGCTCAGCACAGAGGAGCAGGATGAGTTTTACAAGGAATGCGGCCCCACTGCTGCCGCCTGCCGCGACGCAATGAAGCACATGCTCATGCAGGTGCGCATGAAGCGTATCGCGGGAACCCAGAGTGGGCAATACTTGCCCCTGTCCGTGTACGAGAAGCTGGGTTACAATACGGATGACATCGAACAGAAGACGCCAGCGGAAGACATCGAGGAGCACCCCGTTCTCGGGAAGACGCACCGAGTTGCGATCCATTCGATCTCTGAGGCCAGGATCAAGGAGGTCATCTTGCAGGAGGTGGCAAAGACACTGGGCCGCAGTCGCAAGCGCACAGCGGCAGCCTTCCTCGAGGGGGCCTCAAAACCTGAGGAGGGCGCAGAAGCTGCAGACAACGGGCCGCCCGCGCAGAAGCCAGAGAAGAAGCGCAGCTCAAAGAAGCGCAAGAGCAGCGCCAGCAACAGCAGCAGCAGCTCCAGCGATTCGAGCTCCGGCAAGAAGAAAAGAAGAAGGGCAACAAGTCCATGAAGGGCAAGCGGTCCAAGAAAAGCAAATCGTCCAAGAAGGGCAAGAAGTCGAAGAAGGGGGCTGATGAGTTATCGGGGTCGGACGCGGGCCTCTCGCCAAAGGGGCTGCTAGCCAAGCGCAGGGCCAAGGTCGCAGCTGAGAAAAAGGCGGCCCGCACAGCTGAGGTGCAGCAGAGGCTGCTTGACAGAGGGCTGGCCAAGGAGCAGGCAGCCCAGAAGAGGAGGGGGCAGAAGAAGCGCACCGAGGGCCTGCAGGTCGTTCACAAGGCGCTGGCGGCGGCGAAGCCGCTGGTGAGGAAGACGGCAACGCTGCTGGCAGATGATCGCTTGAAGAAGGCGTCAGCGAGGAGGACGGGGGGGGGGGGGGAGGAGGTGGGGGGGGCGGGGTGAGAAGGATGAAGAGGATGGGGGAGGAGGAGCACCCCCGCCCTCGCCAGGCGCCGAAGATGTGCACCGACATGTCCAACGAGAAGCAGGAGCTCCTGAACGAAATTGTGACGTTCTGCAATAGCTGCCTGGAGGACGAGAATAGGATCCCACAGATCAAGGAGGACGAGGTTCAGACGGCCGTCAGCTACATGACGACGTGGATGAAGACCACGACCGCTGCTTTCGAGACCCGCACGTGGGCAAAGTGATCCAGCGAGGGGCTGGGCAGCGGAGGCTCGGGGGCGCTGGCCTGCGCACTTCGGAGTGAGTCTCCACATTCGACGTCTGAGCGAGCGTGCCAGTGCACGCAGCGGATGCAACCGCTGTCACGTAGGAAAAGGAGCTCATTGCTCCTCTTCGCATCGGATATACAAGGAGCGCGTTGCCCCCGTAGCCCAAAATTCGGCATCGCGGATGGAAGCCGGTGCAGTTCCATAGCAACAGCGCACCTCTCCTCTTGGAGGGTGAAAGTGGGGGTCGGCCGCAGGGTCCCGGCAATGATGTCTTTATGGGCCATGAATGGGCGATGCATCCTCGATTGCTGTGTTCGGCGGGGGAACTAATGGAAGCCCCCCGCCTGCACCCATGCGCGAGACTTGAAAGGAAAGGAGGCAAGGGGGCGGGGGGCTCGGGAAAGGCGACGAAGGCAACGTGCGCTGAGGGCGCAAAAAGAAAAGGCTGGAACACACGAGAGCGGTCAGGTGAGTGTCGAAATCTGCCCATCCAATCTGACATGCGGAACAAAACGCCTCAGTGTTGGGGATCTTGAAGGCCAGGGCAAAATGCGAATTCACATTGTGGGGAAAAGCAAAATGTGAATTCACATTTTGGGAGAAAGGAAAATGTGAATTCACATTTTGGAAAAAAAGAAAATGTGAATTCACATTTTGTAATTTTGTGTAGGATTCTTTATGAAAGGGGCCAGAATGTGAATTCACATTTTGGGAAAAAGGAAAATGTGAATTCACATTTTGGGAAAACGGAAAATGTGAATTCACATTTTGGGAGAAAAGTGGGCCCTATTCCAAATCTGTCTTGGGGGTCGAGAAGGCATCGTTTGGGAACATACACGATCATCAATCGCACAATCAAGACACATGCACCCCACTTCGCTGCCCCACGCGCAATACGCAAGACCCCCCGCACGCATGAACGTTAATGGATGGACGGCGCGTGTGCCCGCGCGGGCAACGCGCGGGCACGAACGACTGGCCCTCAATGACCGCCAACATTGGATGCCAATCGTACCCGTTCACATACATGAACGATGCATTGAGCATACATGGGCCATTCAGCCCCCATTGAAGACCCCCTGTTGCAGACCCCCTCTTTCACCCTCCAATCCTCCCCCCCCCCCCCCCCTCCCCTCCTCTCCCCCCCCCCCCCCCCCCCACCCCCCCCCCAACCCCCCCCCCCCCCCCCCCCCAACCGCAAAAGAATCACTTCCTTCCTCCCTCCCCTCGCCCCCCTCCTCCGCTTCGTCGTCGTTGTGCGCCGTGTGGCGGCCTGGCCGCTTCGTGTGCTTGCGTAGCAATCTTACTTGTTCGGTCATTGCTTTCGTTACGTGTGCAGCGGTCTGACCGCGCTGCTACGCTTGTATGCTTATAGATATGCATGCTTATATATATATATATGCATAGCCATGCTTATATATACGGAAGCATTGGTATACCAATGCTTCCGCTCATTGCCGCTTCGCGCGCAACCAGCTTTGGCCCAAACCGCATTGTTTGGATCAGTTCCAGCCCCAATGGAGC